CCGGTAAAGCGCGGGGGGGGGGGGGCTCTTTCCCTCTGGAAAAGCTGCCAGTCAGGAGGACAAGGGCAGCTCCAGGTCCCCAAGGCCCACAGCCACAAGGCTACCTCACCCTGCACGCGCTCTGCCACACGGAGCAAAATGTCATGCAGTAGACTAGGTTTGCAGCCGTTTAGAAGTCAAAAATCCTTTTGTAAAAATTAACTATTGATTTACAATTTATAATTCATACCAACGCGGCTCTTCCTACTTGGTATGCGTTAAGCACACCTACAATAACACATTAGGGAGAAGGAAAACGAAATGTATCATTGTTCTTAATGAAAGATGAGTCAGGTATCGAGTAAACCTCCCTCCGTGAGAGACTTGTCTCGCCCACTGGCCGGCCCTTAAAATCTCTAACCGACCCCAGCGGGGTCTCCAAGAACCTGCATTTCCCCTCATTACCTGCCTCAGACACCCACACCGTGGGCCCTGCGCCCGATCTGTAGCAAAGCCCTTGTTTTTCTCCCATGTTTTTAATGTTTCTTTTTCTAATCGCCACACTTCAGTTATTTATGCATATACATTTAAAATATGTTTATGTTGTGAAGTGGCTAACTCGCGCTAATTCCTATGCATCATCTCACACACCTATCACCTTTTATAGTGAGAACACTCGAAACCTCCTCTCGGACTGATCTTAGGACCACAGTCCATTATCGGCCCTGGCCACCGTGTGGTACAGCAGAGCTCCTGACCTTACCCCTCTCGTCTGAGCGAAATTCTGCAGCTTTTCCCCAACCCATCCCCTACCCCCGAGCCCCAGGCCCTCAGAACCGCCAGGCTGCCTCCTGCGTCTGTACTTTCTAGACTGCAGGCGTACTGAGCTCACGCGGCGGCTGCCTATCTGCGCCCAGCTTATCTCACCGAGCCGTGTCTTCCAGGTTCACCTGTGCGGCTGCAAATGGCAGGACTGTTTTTAAGTGCCATTTACTGAAGACGGAAAAGCAGGAATCCATTCATTTCTGACAGGTCTATTCAAGCCCCACGCTGAATGGAGCTCGGCCACCGGGAAGGACACACAGTGGGCCCGGCTGCCAGTCCACACGCAATGGCACTTGGTGACTGCAGTGTGGCCATCTCCCCTGGGGCGGGGGGACTTCTGACCTTCCCCCTCTCTGTCTCTCTCTGGCAAGTGCACACACCCTATGGCAAGAAAAAAATCCTAAAAGCAGTGAAAGTGTGGTACAGCCACTCACAGGTTACCGGCGACTGTGCCGTCCGAGCACCGGCCACAGCGCGACCTGCACACGGCCACCACTAAGCTCGCGCTTCCTAAGAGGCTGGGACGGAGTCAGTGATAAGTAAGCATGAAGACCACGGTCATCGTAGTATCAGGGATGAGCAGGCCAAGGCCCCCTCAGAGGGGACGGTCTTGAGGGAGGCAGAGCTCAATCCGATGGATGGGCAGGAAGGAAGGGCAGAGTGGGTGGTGGGAACGTGGCAGACTCCACCCCGCCTCATGCTGGGAGACAGCGTGAGCCTGGCAGCAGCCGGGCCATCATCAGCACGGAGCTCCCCCCGCCCATGGAAGAAGGCCGGGCCCACAGAGAACCAGCTCCGGGGCCAGCGTGAGAGAAACGGGTGGGGGCCTATGCTCAGGTCTGCTCCGTCTGCACGGTGGACAGAGCCGTGCTAGCACGTGCCCTGTGCTGACCACCTGGGTCAGTCCATTCAGGGTGGACTGAAAATCCGACCGGAAATACTCGGCAGCAAAGCAGCCGGCGGAGCGAAGGTGGTGCTGACCCCATCGGGTCTCGGTCATAGTGTCCCGGAGTTCTCTTCTGGGCTGTGTCTTCCCTGGCCTTATTTTATCTGACGTTTGCTCCTTTACCACGCCTGTTCTTACAAGGCTCTGCAAATCTCTACAATGAGGCAGGAGACCAGTGACGGGTGGATGGTGGACGGAAGGACGGGGGCTGACAGGACAGACATACGGACGGCCAGGTAGGAGGTGGCAGTACTTGTGAACAGAAAAAAACTGAGTAGAGAATGACGTGAACCAAATGGTATTAGATCTCCTCCACTCATCCACAAGCAGTGGCTTCTACGCGAGTCCTAAGTGCTCTGGTAATCCCCTACGTGCAACCAACCTGTGCGCACACGTGCACGCACGCACACACACACACACAGAGACACATGGACACATACTCACACATGCACACACGCGTGCGCACACACATGCACACAGACACATGGACACATACACATGCACGCACACACATGCACACAGACACATGGACACAAACTCACACATGCACACACACCATGCACACACACATGCATGCACACACACTCACACAGACCATACAAAGGCCCACACATACACATGCACACACGTGTATGCATACACACTCACACATGCACACACACATACTCATGCATGCATGCACACACACACACACACACACACACTCACATATGCACACACATGCAAACAATAGTGAAAGCAGTAGGAATACCTCATCTTGTCCGTCAGCTCCCTGAGCCTGCTCCTCGTCCACGGCCGTGTGACTCTCATTATTAACCTGATCCAGTTCCTCTCCATTTTCTTCGTCGGTGCCTCCGTTCATGCGAGCGGGCCCTGCCTGCTCCTCGCTGTGGCCCAGGGTCTCCGTGACGTGCTCGGAGGCACCCGAGGCCTCCCCGCCCGCTCCGGCTCCGGCATCACCACTCATCCCCGAAACGCCATCTCTCGGCTCTGCGCCCCTCTTGGCTTTCTCTCCATCTTCCTCCTCGTCCACGATTTCTGCCGGCCTCTGATGAACCGAAAGGAACAACACACAGGAGCATGAGTGTGATGGCGAGTCTGGGGCACGTGACGGTGACCTGGTCACTATGTACCACAGGGGAGGTGTCCTCGCTGCCCACACGAGACGTGCTCACACTCGCCGGCCACCTACCGTGTGCCGCCCTCCACAGGCGTCTGCTCCTCACGACCGTGAGGCTGGCATTGCTCCTACCTGCGGGTGACACAACCGAGGCACGGAGCCAGGGCCTGGCACGAGTCGCCCTGAAGCAGAGCGGGAGCCTTACATGGATCGTCTTGGCGCTACCGCTTCAGGGCACTGGGAGCTCTCAAGGAGCATGCTCTCCTGCTGGGCAAGCAGACGGAGGGAACCTGAGGGCAGCCAGAGAGGCTAGCAGAGGCTGGGGGGGCACGGGGGGGCGCGGGCGGGTGGGGGCTTTGC